TGCAAGGTCACTATAGCAGCAACCGTTATTAAGGTGCAATTATACCGATGGATCAGAACCACTGTTGCTGGAACTATAAGGAGTGTTTCAAACATGATATGAATAACTAATATTCTATTCTCATTTTTTTTACACTCGAATAACTCGACATTTGAACTTTTATTTTTACTAACACTAAGAACATTTATTCCTGTACAATGTTTTGTTTCTTCTTTTCGACTGTACTAATATTAATATATCTTTGTTTAAAATTCATACACATGTATTATTAATGAATATATAGTGTTTGATCGAAGCTCAACTGTACAATATTAGCCGTTGGCAGAATTCGTACGCGCCATATTCTGTTCGATTCCGTCAGCAACTTGTAACCCCGCTAGCAGTTGGTCCAGGACACACAGGGTCACCGTCTTGAACATCGCAAACAAATGAGCCAAACTAATGTAACATTCTAACATTTCGTTGCGTATCAAATTTATCATTTAAATGCCATACAGTAGTGTCATAGACATATATTTGGAGGACGATTTTAGTAGTCACTACACGACTGTCTACGAACGAGGTTGCAGATTGTATGACGTACTCGTGACAAAAATATCACGTGATTCGCAAGTCGTCTATTACATCATAGTGTATCATTCCGCCGCACACAATAACAAAGCGAACAAACCACATAGAACGAATAACGGGTGAGGTGATATTGTAGTGTATTCGTATATCTGAAAACATCATCATGTAATTTTTTCTTAATATATGTGTCAGAAGCAAGGAACCATGGATTCCAGGCTATAATTAGAAAACCGATAGGTCGATAATTACCGTGGATAAGCTGTGGTAAATGCGTTTCGTATTTACATATGGTTTGCATGACTTTATCAAAATACGCACTATATCTTTGGACATGTCGGTTGTTACAAATATACGACTACAACTATAACTCAAAACATTTTATGAATGATTCAATCAAAGAGATTTCATTTCACAGGAATAAAACAAACCAAAAATAAGATCATAGTACTAGAGAACGCTGATGTGGCATAATATTTCACCAGCACGTCGTTAGTTCGGACTTTGTTTTGACTAATTGCTGCTACGTCAAAAATAGATGTACTGAATCAAATAAGAGGTCAATACCAGTTATAAGCCGACCAACAATAATCGTTACAATCTGATCGTCACTCAAAAATGATTGTATTTATTCACAGACATTTTGAAATAAGAATAAGACTCATTTTTGGGACATTTCACGATGGAAATTGCATTTGATATATGTTACATATTATATTAAATATTTGTTATTAGAAGTAAATGCTTTGTTGCTGAATATCCAAATTCAAATGTTGTTTTTCATTATATATTTTATCACTCAAAATATCTAACGGTTGTTGAATTTTTGTATCATATGGTCAACAGTGTATGAAAATAGGAAATTTATCCTTATTTGTGTTGAAAATTCGCAAATTATCACCTATATTTTATCACATGCGAAATTCACCATGACTTCATGATGTAGTGTGATCACCACCTACGATTAGGATTACCAGCTATGATGTCAAAAGTTCAATCTATTTGCATGATCCAATCAGATTACTGGGATATTTATAGTATAGAAGAATCGAGAATAATTACACTGCTTTATCACACAGAACTGACCTGATATATGGGATAGAGGTCTTCTTAGTGAGATCCTCAGATTCGACAGTATAACTCATTTTCTAGTGTTGCTATATTTTCTATTCCCAAGTGTGACATTCCCTGACTGCCTAATTTTATTCATCTATGTCGACTGTCATCATCACTCGTTTTTATCAAAACATCAACTATTTAGAGGATCTACTTCCATTTAAAGAAATAATCTCTCATGAGGTTTTAACATTTATTTCCTTGAATATTTCCCATTATATCTTGTTCAAATATTCCAACACATCAACAGTATGTTTGTTTCTTTAACCGGATAGCGTCCAATTTCTTTTTTAGTATGTTTATTTATTAATGTTTGAAATGCTTGAAATTGATTGCACTCACTGTAGCTAGCCTGTCGCGGCTAGCTTTTGAATTACTAAATGTATTTTCTTTATGAAATTACAGCCTGCTTGGTTCTTGAGTCAAATGTTGGTTATTCTAATTCAGTTGATTTACATTCCACCTTGATTGTTATGTGTTGCATAACCATATGCTCAAATATTTGTACATTTTTTGTGTTTTCAACATCTGCATCCAATATTTCATTATCATGTTATGAAAGCGACTTAACGTTCGCACATTCGGTTCACACGCCGTTGCACTGTTAATGTTTAGAATCAACAACTTGCATGTTTAGGGCAGAGATTTCATAAATAGATTGTTTACTAATTGTATTTAGTAGTGGAAACTTTGCAAGGCACATCCCTGGTAATCACGTGATCGTGCCAACGACTGGAGCGGTTGGCTGATCGTATGTTTACTTTACCACGCCTTAGAGACTTGACTTTTAAGATAGAGAGTTTGTAACCTTCTTATAAAAGAGATGTATCAAGCGAGGCGAAGTTCCCCGATCCCAAAACAGGAACAATCATAACCATTTTGCGTGAAATGAACTGAGGTTTAGTAATATCTGACACCTTATGGGACATATCGCTTCTCACATTGTTCCCCTGAGTACGGAGAAAACGACGGCATGACCATTATCTCTGTCGTAAATCTCAGGTAAACACAGTTTGTCCATTTCGTCTTGTTCTGACCAATTCCATACCTTGTCAGACTAAAAGAAAGATACCATATGTCATCATCAAATACGAACTTTATTGTTTTCTATTTTACTCCGTGAATCAAAACACTATAGAGATTATGCATTTGATTTACTGGTCAATAACATTAAAGCACCAATATATACACCAATTAGTCTAATCCATGTTCAATTGTTGTCAATTTCATTCCGTTGCGTTCAGCCAACTGGAGGCGGCCTCCAAATATGAACCAAGAATAATCGTTTATCCCGTTGAATTTGGAGGAAGAAGATATTGGAAAAAAAAAATTACCCATGGAAAATTATATTTGATAAAGGGAAAAATAATATAGTAAACAGCTCAAAACTGAAAGATAAATGATATACGCGTTTTTCTTTTTTACATTCTTGCCTTACAACCTTTTAATTATTAAAAAATAAATTTAAATAGTATCGGTCTTTCAACGTGACTAATATTTAACTACCAATTAAATAGGCGTGTCCCGATGGCGTTTAACCAGTATCCATAATATTTTGTTTCATCAAATACAAGGGCCCGCTTAAATAAACTATGCTCTTGACTGTCATTTTATCTCGATTTGATTACATATAATAATGTTCTATTTCATAATTATTATATGCCATGTCGAGTGTACCATCGCATCCATAAATTTGAAGTAAACGTTCAACCAAGAAAATGGAAATATGGAAAACAAACTTTCTCACTATTTATTAGTTATATGCCAGATGATATATCCAGATGAAATAAATGACATTAAAAAATATAATATACTACAATAATCCGCTTTTTCTGCCTTAATTATTCTTTGAATTTGACTTAAATTTGACATTTACTTTTCTCAACTAATTCGCTATTCTAGGGCATTTATAAATATACATATTTTTTAAACGAGACGCATTTGTTTGTACACACTGTTCAAACAAAGGATTTTCTAGAAAACAACCACACAAAACAATCTAAACGTTTTATAGCACATATACGAGTTTACGTTTAAATATGATAACACAGATCACGGAATATCACATCACTGGCACTTTTACTGAAACATATGGCATCACTTCGTGGACACCATGTGCTTCATACGAGTCATTCTCGTACTGCTTTGACTGTGTACTGAAATATATATCTATCAGTTGCTAATTTGTTTTGTCATTCATCATTCATTTGTGTTTTTACTTGTAAATAACTATGAATTAAATATCGTTTTGGAATATGTTGCTATTTCTGCTTTCCACAATAATATATTTATCTTTTCTTATCTTGTAAACATATCTATAACTCGTATTTATCCATATTTATTTACGAGTGAGTTCTAAAACCAATGTATGTAGTGAACCATTTAATATATAACGCACATGTGGAAATTAGTTTAATTGCTAATCCAATATCATACGCATGTTTAAACAATGTTATAATGTGTGATTATGTACATATGAACATTTTTAGAAATTAACATTAGTCACAAAAATGTGGTATATTTCAGAAAGTTTAGTAATGAGTACAACATATTGTAAATTGAATTATCTCTAAAATGTCGCTATAATAAGCAAATGCGATTACATTTGTTGGTTTTAAAATTTGGGACTATTACAGGAAGAATCATTCTATGTCCATTGGGACGTACAATATGCAAGCCTTTTTCATTAAACAATACAAAATAGAATTCAACAGAACTGAAATCAGATTGTAACCGGATTATGCATCATTGTAATATAATTTTATATGGTTTGCAGCAATATAAATAATAGCTTGTAAATTACCATCAATGTAACAACCACTCTGGAAAAATTATCGTGTTGTGATTAGTAAACTGATATATGAAAGGTATGGGAGTTAGGTTAAACCTTTAAGCAAACTCGAATATTAATCATATCAGTATTTCTTCCAAACTTAATAATATGATATTACTTGATTTTTTGAGTTGGAATCAAGATCACACAATT